CGGAAGAGAGGGCATCCAACTGGTGAAAGATTTGTACTAGAAGTATAAGAAATAAAGGGGGGAAAAAAAAGAAATGGCAAGGGGGGGTTATAAATTAGGAGTATGAGAGTAACTGATACAAACTACTATACATAAAATAAATAAGCAATAGGGATTTACTGTATAACACAGGGAACTATATTCAGTATCTTGTGATAACCTAAAATGGAAAATAATCTGCAACATGTATATATAAAACGGAATCACTTTACTGTATACTTGAAGCTAGCACAATATTATAAATCAACTACACTTCAGTTTTTTTAAAAAGCATAAGAAATAAAATAGGTCTCTAGATGGAAGTCCTTAAAAATAAACAGAAGGGGCTTCCCTGGTGGCACAGTGGTTGGGAGTCCGCCTGCCGACGCAGGAGATGCAGGTTCGAGCCCTGGTCCGGGAAGATCCCACATGCCGCGGAGCGGCTGGACCCGTGAGCCATGGCCGCTGAGCCTGCGCGTCCGGAGCCTGTGCTCCGCAGCGGGAGAGGCCACAGCAGTGAGAGGACCGCGTACCGGAAAAAAACAAACAAAAAAAAAAACAGAAGGGTTCAGACTTGACACATTCAGTGGTCAAGACCCTTTCAGGTTCCTATAGGGCTTGGGTGACGTGATAAACTTTTATATCTCTATCGATTTTGTTATGTGAATGTATGGCTCCTATGAATAGTTGTCAGCTCTGAAACCACATCTGTTCAGCTCTCTATCAGAGTATATCCCTCTCTGAACATAGTATGCGAAACCAAATTGAGACTGTTAAACAGTCCAACCCTGTATCCTTTACATCAGTATCCCTTCTAAGACCAAAGAAAAATACTATTTTTATACAGAGACTTTTTTTTCCAATTAAAAGACAATGCTTACCTTTTTATGATTTATGTTTTCTACCTTTATTGAGATATAATTGATATATAATGTTTGCTTTTTATAGATTTTAAAAAACTCAACCAACTCTCTCGAATGCAGAGATAGAAATAATTAGCAGCCTGCCCATCCTGAGAGCAAGCACTAGGTTTTTTTAGATTTCTTTATATACTTAACTTTTATATTTTATATTTAAATGTATTCATTCTCCAATCAGTGATGTGAAGAATAACATTTAAAAATATATAAAATATCTATAGTATGTATATATGTGTGTATGTATAACTATCTTCTTTCTTACTGCCTTGACAGGGGAAGCAAATCTAAAATCTCCTGAAAATGGCAGGGTCTGCATCATTGATGACAACTTTATGCTGCAGTGGAACAGCAGCCGTGAGTCTGTCAGGAATGTGACTTTTTCAGCAGAGTATAAAATGTACGTTACCCTACTTATTGATTTGCTGAATAATTTTTACCACTTTAACACCATAAATTTTTTTTTCAGGTTTTTTTTTTAATAATTAAAGGGTGAATGTTTTATTCTTTAGTGTTTAATAGAATACATCACAAGTCACATAATCAATGATTCATTACTTCACACACAGGGAGGAAAGCAATATTGAGGATTTCTGTTACACAACCGGTTGTGAACACAGAGAGAGAACCAAAATCTCTAGAGCATTTAGATGGTTGAAGAAATTCTCACTTCGAGTTTGGGCATGTCTGAAAAAACCTCCTCAGTTTTTAAAATATGAAAGGATTTTTTTTTTTTCTTGGCTTTCTGTTTCATTAGAAAGCCTGATAATTGTATAATGATTTTTTCCCTTTCTCCTTCAATTTTGAGAAAATGGCTCAGTGATATGTATCACTTAGCATATAATATTTTCAACAATTTCACAATCCCAGTTAACTCTGCGGGAATCTTACATTGTTTCTCAGGTAAGAGTTTTTCAGACGCCCAGAAAAATTTAAATAACGCGTAATTTGCATCTTCAAAATTAATATCCACAATGGATGTTTTAACCTTTGTCATTAAATGTCACAGATGCTGTTTGAGTGGTCATAAATGAATTGTCATCATTTGTATTCAATATTAATAGCAAAATTCACCGGCCTATAAAGTCAGAAAGACAGTTTTAGGAAGCATTTGGTTTTTCCACTTTTTAAAGAAAATGTATGGCTATTTTGCATAATGTTTATAACTTCATTTCTACAAATAGAGACTCAGTCAAATTCATCCTTGGGTATTGAAGCAGGAGATTTGGGGGCCGAGGCTAGCAGACAACTTCTGTAGTCCACAGCCATACCTCCTCTGTCCTGTATGCTCCAGCTTCTGCAAATATAAATTAGGGGCTGACCTAGAGCATACCTTGAGGATATGGGAGAGTGCCCCTAAAGGTCTAGCCATGGTCTTGGAATAGGCTTCTGTGGTCAGCCTTTCCTCTTGTCTCCATCATACACAAAGTTTTAATTCTAGATACACTTTATAAACATCAGTGTATTGGACCCTGCCTTCCCACAGACTCAGTGTTTCTGGCACTTCTGCCTCTTCCCTAGTGCTAACTTTCTACTTAATGATTGCCAAGAGGATAGGCAGACAGGGAGTTGTGGACGAAGGGATTACAGAAGGAAATACCACTCAGGGAGTATAGTACTTTGCTTTGGGTTCTGGGACCCTGTCTGCTAACCATGATCCCTGTCCAAGAAAGAGCAGGCAGGGAATCAGGCAGTGAAGAAACAGGGTGTAGGACCTCTAGAGCCAGGATTCCACCACTTCAGCCACAGCCCGGTTGTTCTCCAGTTGATAGTTAGTAATTTGTGTGTGTGTGTATATACAGTTGACCCTTGAACAATGGCGGGGGTTAGGGAAGGTCACCCCACCCACCCCCCATCCCGTGCAGTCGGAAATCTGAGTATAACTTTACAGTAGGCCCTCCATATCTGTGGTTACACATCTGTGGATTCAACCAACCCTAGATCGTGTAGTGCTGTAACGTGTATTTATTGAAAGAAATCTGCATGTAAGTGGGCTCACACAGTTCAAACCTGTGTTGCTCAAGGGTCAACCATATATATGTATACACATACACACACACACACACATATGTGGTTTTTCTCAGAGCTGATAATTTAACAGTTTTCATCTTTAGAGATTTTCTTTAAATTGAACTTTGAGTTTTGTTACCAAATTTGTTCTTTGCCTTAGTTCAGAATGTTGTTATGAAACAACTATTTTAGGTATAATAGAGATTATTTCAGATTCCTTTATTTAAAATTACCCTTGTAGGGGCTTCCCTGGTGGCGCAGTGGTTAAGAATCCGCCTGCCAATGCAGGGGACATGGGTTCGAGTCCTGGTCCAGGAAGATCCCACATGCCACGGAGCAACTGAGCCCGTGCGCCACAACTACTGAAGCCCGCGTGCCTAGAGCCTGTGCTCCGTAACAAGAGAAGCCACCACAATGAGAAGCCCCACACGGCAACAAAGAGTAGCCCCCGCTCGCCGCAACTAGAGAAAGCCTGCGTGCAGCAACGAAGACCCAACATAGCCACACACAAAAAATTAATTAATTAAAAAATAAATAAATAAAAATAAATAAAATAAAATTACCCTTGTAATAAAGAACAGAGCCATAGACAGTGCTCTCGTGTTCTTGTTCCTTCACACGTTCTGTCACTTCTACTAAATTCTCCAGTTCATGATAATCTGTCGGTTCTGACTTTAGTATCCAATGCACTATTTCAGTGTGTTCTTTCTGTATTCTGTTCTGCTAGCTTTATAAACAATTGCCTTGTAAGAACATGCCAGGTCACAAGTTTGGGGAGCCAGTTTAGCGGTTAGTGTGGTGTAGTGTTATATGAAATTGAGCCAGGCTGCTTGGGTTTAAATCTATCCTCTGCTACTTATTCTCTCTGTCACAGTTTCCTTATGTGTTAAGTAAAGATAAAAAATTAGTATGATCATATGTAATTTATCATTCAAACCAGGATACTTCTGAGAGTGAACAGAAGCACTTGACTTTAGATAAGCTGGAACAATAAGCTTAAACCAGGACAGTCCCAGGCAGACTGGCCTGGGACACCCCAGTGATGAAGCTTCTAACTTGGAAGTCTATTGTGAGTGTTGCACAATTGTGTATCAAGTGCGCATAACAGTGGTGCAGAGAACGTGATCAACCAAAGTGTAGTTAATGTCAGCAGCAGACAGATATTTTTTTCCATATAGTGTTTCTCAGAACATTAGACATATCACTGGTGATAAATGATACACAGACACATAAAATAAGCTACTGGGATACCAGTGCCTATAGAACATATGCTTATCTAAGACGTCAGTGTTTGTGACTTATATCTAAAATGTATTAGGGGGACTTCCCTGGTGACACAGTGGGTTAAGAATCCACCTGCCAATGAAGGGGACACAGGTTTGAGCCCTGGTCCGGGGAGATCCCACATGCCACAGAGCAGCTAAGCCCATGCGTCACAACTACTGAGCCTGCACTCTAGAGCCCACGAGCCACAACTACTGAGCCCCCGTGCCACAACTACTGAAGCCCGCGCGCCTAGAGCCCGTGCTCTGCAACAAGAGAAGCCACCGCAATGGGAAGCCCGCGCACCGCAATGAAGAGTAGCCCCCGCTCGCTGCAACTAGAGAAAGCCCACACGCAGCAACGAAGACCCAACACAGCCAAAAATAAAAATTAATTAATTAACTAAATAATTGAATTTATTTAAAATAAATAAAATGTATTATGACGTATGTAGTGTGCAGTCTTCATTCAACAAACATTGAATGCCTTTTATGCCAAACGCTCTTCTGGGTACTTGGAATACGTTAGTGAATAGGAGAGACAAAGATGGCATGAAGTTTTATTATGAAAATGGTTTTATGAAATGAATTTTCTATTGGTTACACATTTATTTTCAAGTTATATTTCTGTTGTGATCTAAACACTGTATATGATAAAGTTTTTTTGTTTTTTTTTAAGAAAATATAAAAGTAGCTACCACTGTAGTAGCTCCCTTACATGCAAAAGCAGTTGTAATAGAGTGGGCAGCTGCATCTCCTGGAGCAGGAAAGACAGATGTAAAGAGTGAGGGTGGGTTAAAACCATATCAAGGCTTAGTTTTAAAGTTTTTATAAGGTTTTCTGTTGAGTATAATAAAAGTTCTCCATATAAATGAACCAGAAATGCTTTACTGACTTTTTGCCTGGAGCTCATTTTATTTTGACCCTCTATGCACCTGATTTAAAGAGGTCTGTGTACCGTACCCACTTCCCAGACTTCCTTAATCTCCTAATTTCTCTGGAATTATATTTTCTAATAAATGACATTTGAGGGGAAAAACAACCTGAATTTTTGGTTTAGATTTTTAAGGTCTGGATTTAAAAAAAATAGATTCTGTTGTGGAGGAGTTTCTCAGGAAGATTTGCATTTAAATCAAGGTATTATTAATGCCAACTCTAATCTCAAAGCTCAGATAGGTAAAGAAGGGGAAACTCGCCAGGAATGAAGTGTATATGGTAGTGTATATTATTGGTAACTTTTTTTTTTTTGGCTGTGTTGGGTCTTTGTTGCTCCACGCGGGCTTTCTCCAGTTACAGCGAGCGTGGGCTATTCTTCATTGCAGTGCGCGGGCTTCTCATTGCGGTGGCTTCTCTTGTCACGGAGTACAGGCTCTAGGTGCGCGGGCTTCAGTAGTTGCAGCACGCAGGCTCAGTAGTTGTGGCTCGCAGGATTAGTTGCTCCATGGCATGTGAGATCTTCCCAGACCAGGGATAGAACCCTTGTTCCCTGCATGGGCAGACGGATTCTTAACCACTGTGCCACCAGGGAAGTCCCGGTAACTTTTTAAAGATGATTCTTTTTTGAAAAATAAGGTAGACTTGAATTGGAGTCAGCACAAACATTATTTAGATATCATCCCTAATTTCTATTAGCTTTTAATAAAAAGCATCCTTAGCTTTTTATTAAAGATGCTTTGGGGACTTCCCTGGTGGTCCAGTGGTTAAGACTACGTGCTCCCAGTGCAGGGGGCCTGGGTTCGATCCCTGGTCAGGGAACTAGATCCCACACACATGCCGCAACTAAGAGCCCACATGCCGCAACTAAAAACAAAAAAAAGATCCCGCATGCTGCAGTGAAGATCCCCAGTGCCACAACTAAGACCTGGTGCAGCCAAATAAATAAATATTTTTTTAAATTAATTTTTAAAATATATACATGCTTTAGCATCTTTAAAATGATGTCTACAATATTACCCCAAAAATCAAAATCAGCTAGTGCTAGAACTATGAATTAGGCTTGACAAAAATGCCTTCTCAGAGGATAGTTTCTCTCTTTGGTTTAAGGCAGACAGGGCTTACCACAGGCAAAAATTTTGAAATCTAATGTTTGTTTTCTGTCCCTCACCTTCACTTCAGCCTCCTGTTCCCTTTGTAGCAACATGTCCTTTCTGTTTAAGCCACTCTTTGCCAATTTAATTTCTTTACATGCTTAAAAAAAATCTAATATCACTCAAACTTTTTTTTTTTTTTTTTTTTTGCTTTAACAGCTTCATCTAAATTACTAACCCCCGTCTCAGAAGCATCCCTCAGGAGCATCCTGAGAAAAAGGCAGATATGGTTTAGATTTCTGAGCTCTCATTTTTATGACATAGTGTGCCATGTGTGTTTTAGGAATGCTTTACTGTAATTTTGTTCAGTATTTCCCAAAACTTTTTTTTTTTTTTTTTTTTTTGCGTTACGCGGGCCTCTCACTGTTGTGGCCTCTCCCCCTGCGAAGCACAGGCTCCGGACGCGCAGGCTCAGCGGCCATGGCTCACGGGCCCAGCCGCTCCGCGGCATGTGGGATCTTCCCGGACCAGGGCACGAACCCGTGTTCCCTGCATCGGCAGGTGGACTCCCAACCACTGCACCACCAGGGAAGCCCCGCACTCAAACTTTTTAATGGACTAAATCCACATTGAGAAGTTTGTTAGTTTATGTTAACATTTTAAGTTCTTTGTTTCTAGTCACGTAACAAAGGAATTATAGAGACCAGTATGAAGAAGGAATGGTTTGGTTTTGAGAAGAGCAGAGGAAATTCTCAAACCATACTGATTCTGAGGTCTTCCTTAGGGTTAGTAGTCTCTTCATAGGAAGAGGTCAGAAGGGAATCATTAAATCCACTTCCCAAATTTTCAGTAAGGAAGAGAGGATCCAGAATACAAAGTAGTTGGCCAAAAGTCACACAACTATCTTTACCAAAGCCAACAGTAAGTCCACTTTTATCTTATGGGTTCTTTCTTTCTCTGCTTCTTTGAAATCCTAATGCATTAGGATTTTTTACATTAAAGAATTAACTATATGTCAGAATTATTCCATTGTATAAATAATAACTTGGTATATATGTATTGAAAAAGAGTAGAATGTTACACACAAAAATATTGTCAGGACATTAACTCAAGTAGAAGAAATAACTACTTACACTAGCTTTATAATGTTAATGTAAATAGAAAACATGTTTGTCACTCTTATAATGTTCATTCATTCATTTGCTTTTTTATCTTGAAGACCAGGGATGGATAATTGGAAGAAATTGCCTGGATGTCAGCATATTACTAGTACCGAATGCAACTTTTCTTCAGTCAAGCTTAAAAATGTTTATGAAAAAATTGAATTGCGCATAAGAGCAGAAAAAGGAAACAACACTTCTCAGTGGCATGAGGTTAAGCCATTTATACCATTTCAGAAAGGTAAGAAGTTGCCAGCTGAATTACATTGTATTCTTTATTAAATATTACCAGAACAGCTCTCTTCCCAAGCCCATTCGTTTACATGATATAAAGTCTCCCATCTTTAAAAACAAGCAAACAAACAAGGATTCCCTTAAACCCATATCTCCTTCCTGCTATGGCATCATTTTCCTGCTTTTCCTACGGTGCAGGAGAACCCAAACCACCCCTTCCACCCCCCCGGGCTGCGCAGCAGGAGGTGAGTGTCGGGCGAGCGAGCAAAGCTTCATCTGCCGCTCCCCACCACTCCCCACCGCTCCCCACTGCTCCCCATCACTCCCCATCGCTCCCCATCGCTCCCCACTGCTGGCGTTACCGCCTGAACCATAACCCCGCCCCCGTCCATGGAAAAATTGTCTTCCAAGAAACTGGTCCCTGGTGCCAAAAAAAGTTGGGGACCACTGTTAGAGAATGAATGAACATCATGTCTCCCCACCGCTCCCCACCACTCCCCACCACTCCCCACCGCTTGCATTACCGCCTGAACCATCTCTTCCCATCACTGCCGCCCCCACCAATCCGTGGAAATATTGTCTCCCACAAAACTGGTCCCTGGTGCCAAAAAGGTTGGGGACCACTGCTATAGTGATTGTTCTCAAAGTGTGGTCTCCAAGACCCTTTCAGGAGGTCTATAAAGTCCAAACTATTTTCTTAATAATTCTAAGACTTACTTGTCTTTTTCATTTTGATTCTCTCGTGAGTGTACTCTGGAGTTTTCTAGAGGCTGTTTGATGTGAAATGGTGACTGACTGAATGCAGAAGTAGGTGTGAGACACAGCTGCCTTCTTTATTAAGCCAGACATTGAAAAGATTTGAACAAAATGTGAAACAGCACCACTTTCCTCACTAAGCTTTTTGGCTTGTTTGTTTTGGGAAATAGAGTCATTTTTTATCACAAATATTTTTTATCACGTAGTGGGTTTTATCATTACTGTTTTTTAATGAATTGGTAGATATTTTAAATTTTTATCAATTTTAATGTTTAATATGCTAAATATTCAGTGACATAGCCCATGTAAACAAAAGATCTTTAGGACCCTCAGTTTCTCTAAGAGCGTAAAGGGGTCCCAAGACCAAACAGTTTGAGAACCACTGCCCTATACCAAAACTCACACAAGAATGATCTGTACCCCCTCTCTGTACACTTTTCCTCCTACGCCCTCTTCAGCCCTCTCCATCTGAGCTTTGTTCCCCATCACTACCCTAAAACAAGGTCACCGTGACCTCCACAGTGCCTAGTGGATTCCCTGTCCTCTTCTGGCCCAGTTCCCCTGTGGCATCGGCGTGATCATCACTACCTTCTTCCTGAAATCCTTCCATCTCGGATCTCTAGGGTGCTGCCCTTTCCTGGCTCTCCTGCTGCTCTTTGGTTGCTCCTTTGTCAGTTTCTTCTCATCCCCCAGACATTTAAATGTTGGACAGCTGCAGGGCTCAGTCTGCAGGGCTTGGTCGTTGAACCTCTTCTCCTACGCACCCTCCACCAGGAATCGTATGGCTTTCAACACCATCTGTGCTCTTGACTCCCCAAATTATATCTCTCCAGCCCCATTCCTTCCCCTTAGCTTAGACTCATATCACCAGCTCTCTATTCAGCATCTCTACTTAGAGGTCTACAAGTTGTCCCAAATTTAAAATGGCCAAACAGAGCTCTTGATTTTCCGCCTCCAGACCTGCTCTTCTTGCTGTGTTTTTCATCTCGGTTAATGACATCACCTATTTATTTGCTCAGGCCAAGAGCCCTGGCATCACCTTTGACATCTCTTTCTCTCATGCAACATCCAGTCCATCAACAAATGCTGAGTGATCAACCTTCAAAGTATATCCTGAATCGGATCCCTTCTCACTTCCACCCCTGCTACCAGCCTTCGCCAGGCCACTTCCATTTGTCACTCGAACTGCTGCAGTAGCTTCCCTGCTTCCTCACACATCAACCAGGGTGATCTTTCCCGGATGTGAATCAGGTCTCAGCAGTCCTCCAGAGACTACAGACTCAGACTACAGAGTTCTGCCTGTTACCTGGCTTCTAGCTGCCTCTCTGATCTCATTTTCCACCACTCAGCCATTCGAGTGCCCCCTACTGTCTCTTGAAAATGGTGAGCACATTCCCATCTCAGGGGCTCTGCCCTTGGTGCCCCCTCAGCTGGGGATCCTTCTCCCCTCGAGACTTGCATGACTGACTCCCTCACCTTGTCCAGGTCTCAGCTCAAACGTCTCGGGGAGCCTTCCCCTCACTAACTTACCCAAAACAGCTCTTGCTGCCATTCTCTGTCCCTTTATGTTACTTCATTTTTTCTTATAGCACACATGACCTTATAACATTATATGCACTTGTTTATTTGGGATTTCTGGCCACATCCCTCACTAAAGTGTGAGCTCCATGAGGGATTTTCTCCGTTTTGTATGCCAGGCACATATTAAGTGCTTAGAATTGTTTGTTGTATGAATGTTTTGGCTTGTATTCGTGAACTTATATAGTAAATGTTTTTATTTTTACAGCTCAGATTGGTCCTCTAGATGTACATTTAGAAGCTGAAGATAAGGCAATAATAATAAACATCTCTCCTCCTGGGACAAAAGATAGTATCATGTGGGCTATGGATCATTCCAGCTTTATATATAGCTTAGTTATCTGGAAAAACTCTTCAAGTCCAGAAGTAAGCATTATTTTTATCTTTGTTTGATGTGAGAGAAGAATGACATGAATTAATTCTAAAACTTGACTTTTTACTTTTTTAAAGAACAGACTTCTTTTTTTTTTTAATTATAGGAAAGGACCAAAACTGTTTATTCCAGAGATAAAATTTATAATCTCTCACCAGAGACTACTTATTGTTTAAAAGTTAAAGCAGAACTACGTTCACCAAGAAGAGTTGGTTTCTATAGTCCAGTGTATTGTATAAACACCACAGGTAAGGAGGAAGTCTTGCTTCAGATTCAATAACTATGTATATAAATTGGCAACCTATTAATTTGGGCATTTTTCCAATAGTTGCTAAAGCTTATGTGATGGTTTAATAGACGTTAAAGCAAAAGCATTCTAACAGCATTTATGTAAGCAACAAATGTTATTTGGGATTTTTGTCTCAAATAAATAGTAATGAAAATTTTGCATAAAATCCAAGTATTTTCTAATGAAAACAACTGTTTTTATTCAGAATCCACAAGAAAGGGAGGTAGTTGCTAGAAGAACAGTTAGTCTTCCAAAAGACTTACCTTTATAGATGAAATGTTAAAATATGAAAGCATCCTGATACATTTAGCAGTGACATCTTGCCAACAATTAAGGGCAGGAGCTTGGATTTATTATTTTAATTATAAGTTCAATATGCTTTGTTTTTAATATCAAACAGTATAGAAGGGTTTAAAGGTTTCCTCTCCTGCCTCCTGCCCCCCAATTCCATTTACCAGAGATAAGTATCACCAACAGTCTGTGTACAACTTTTCATACTTTTTTCAGGGCTTATATAAGTATATACTTGGACTTACAGTTTTGGGGGTTTTGTCTTTTAAATTAAAAAATAAGGTCCTGCCATATATATATATATATATTTTTTTTTTTTTTTCTTTTTTTTTTTTTTTTTTTT